CTATTCCAGAGACTAAAGATCTGCTTCTTGGTTGGGATGGGAGATCAACATGAACTACAAATTCTTTGTGCTTGATCATTCAAGACAAGTACTTAGACTATTCAAAGCCTTCGTCTTTACGTTTATATAATTCTTTTTGGTTTCATAAAACGAGAATCTTCATTACATTTTCCATTTTCTCATGCTGTTTCCTTAGGTTTACAATTTTTTTGCTTCCCAGTGCCATATATTCTTGCTGGCGTTGTTGAGTAATTATAGGTTGAGCTTCTGCAGTGTTTTGGTTACTGACAAAAGTATAGAAGTAATATAAATGGTGTAAGTTTGTCCATTTTCCGTTTTGTTTCAGACAATATTTTGGGAACTTTGGCAGATCTGGATGGTTTATAGTTTAGAACATTTTACTAACCTTCATTTTCTAAATTTATTTTCAGAAATTTTCTAAGTCGAAAAATGGTGACGGGCAGTAGTTTCTCTTTCATCCTAGAGATATAGTATCCAATATCAAGAAAGTGATGGCAAAAAGATTGAACAATTGCTTGCGATTTTCATGATATTGGGTCGGTCAGTCCAAAAACCAATAAAATGTGACCTTCAATTTCACAAATGCAACACTAAACTTATTAGTGAATCCAAGGAGTTGGGGGCGGTGGTGGAGGTGGAAACTTTGCTGCTGGCACAAATGAGAACATACTACTTTTGTTGATTCGTATGCTCCCATCACCTGATAGGGCAACAAGAGCACCAACCAAACCAGCATTCCCTGCCAGTCTGGGCTGCGTGTAGTTCATCATCCTCCGGTTGTCCTTAAAGCCATCATTCTCGTCAGGACCAGCCACCAGAGCTCCAACAATGGTATTTGGATTTGCCTTTGGTGTATCCCTCCATTTCCATCCTCCAGTGCAACTGTACTTAATGCCGTTATGAGGGATGGATGCACCTCTATGATGGACATGCAAAGGATATTTAATGCCGTAACCAACAACATAGCTCATGTTCTGAGGATTCTTTCCAAGGATATAATCAACCTGTTCAAATAAATAATGGAGCACATTATCAACCAAATGGGTTTTTGTTGATTTTTACATACAAAATTGGGAGGTTGTAGGAAATTTTTTCTTGGGATCCATACTCTCCTCCTTTGATTACTAATACATGTATGAAGCATTGAATCTCACAAAAAGAAAACAAAGTTATTCTGACCTGGTTTTTGGAGAAGTTTCTCAAGACACCCGCTGGCGACAAAATCTGAACCGCACAAAATTCCTGGTGTCTCTGAAACTTTTAAGTAGTCACTATACAAAGCTGCCAAGAAGGCAGCATTCACGACATACTGAAGACGATGGGGATCTTCTTGGTTAATTAAGATCAGGCCCCCTTAATAACATATGGATAAAACTAAGTCAAACATCCAAATACGATTTTAAAAAGTGAACGAGTTTAATGGTAAGACTGTAATACCTCTTGTTCTACTAAACTGGGAAGAGAGTGGCAGATATGAGCACATAATTAAACAAGTTTGCTTGCTCATGATATACCTTGAGAACTTCTTTATAACTACGGCCCAAAAATATTCTCAAACGGCTAAGAAGCACCTAGAAAGAGAAAAACATCATTTTAATAACAGTTCGGCACATCATCTTTCAAAGCAACAAAAAATAATTTATCTACTTACTAAAGCCCCGGCAATCTTGTTGTCCCAGCTAAGTCCAGCATAGTCTGTGACCCTTCCAAACTCTCCAGAAAAATCAGCGTTGTCTTTCTTTGTTGCAAACTCAATGTATGAAGGGTCACCTGTCGCATAATACATCCAAGCTGCACCCCAGACATACTCATCATGGAAATTTGTAGAATCATAGTATTTAGCAGCATCAGAGCCTAGGATACTGTATGTTCCAGGATGGTCCATGGAGAATTGGAACAACGATTTTGCTGCATGAACGAGTTTCTCACTATATGTCACGTTGTCCCCGAAAACCAATGATGCAGAAGCCAATGCAGCTGCCATTTCTGCTGGAAGGTCTGAGCAACTCTGGCACGTACTGACTGGTCGAGGATAGTCGATATCCTCCGGACGCATCCAGCAGTAGTGATCATTGGGGATTGGCTGTGCCATTGGGAAACCACCAAGTCCTACCTGTTAGGAAAAGAAAAAGTAAAACAAAAAATGACAAATTTATAGAGATAATACAATCCAAAGAAATAGAATCGGTTCATATTCATATTCCTTATCGTGTATAATTCTGTAATTAAACTAAGTTACCTGTGCTACTATATGATCTATAGGAGATTCTGAAGCAAAGCACTTGAGGAAGTAATCAATCCCCCACTTGACAATGTTTTTGACGTGGTCAAGCTCACCAGCAGCCTCATACTGTGCTCTGTACTCGATGACACTCCAACTCAACATCGTCATCGCAAATGATGCAGGAAAATTAAATTTTACAGCATCACCTGCATCATAGTATCCCCCGACCAAATTTTTATGAGCTGTTGTAACTTGTAAGGCCATCCCGTGTGCAAGAGTTCCCCCTCCATGATATGTTATTGTCGCGTGGAAGCACTCCAGCTGTCATAAAAAACTGAAGCACTAAGGGGAATTTTTAATTGAATATTTTACATGATAAGAAAGTAAAAAGTAGAATTCACTTGCAGCGTTGTGAATCAAAAAACAAGACGGCCTTATTTAATGCCATGGTATAATTATCCAGCAATCGTGGTTTTTCCAGCGATGATGGTGGAAAGGATTGGTGATGATGCTTCGGAATGATTCCCAGAATGATGAGGAGTAGCAATACTGCAGAAGCCCCCACCATAAACATCTTATAGAATGTCATTTTTTACTCAATTGATACAACTTATGACCCTGAAGCATCAAAAAACAAGGTTCAATTCCAGAAATGAATCATAGTACATTGAATCTATGTGGGGTGAATAATGTGTTAATCTTAAGCATTTTCCACTATGTCCAAGAGCAATCTTCAGGAATACTAATAACGCAGTTGATAATCATGACACTATAATAGTTCACGTGTAATGCAACTCACTTAGAATGAATAATTTTGCATACCAGGGCCATATTTTAAATGTATGCAGCAAACTATAAAGCAAGATTCCAACTTGCAGCTGGGATAGCTAATAATATTTCTACCACAGCAAAGAAATCAATGATGGAAAAGGAAGAGTATGTATCGGTGAAGGATTGTTTTCCAGTCGAAAATTCTACGTTAGACTGGTTCACAAAGCTGATAATATTGCAAGCTGATATGTTTTACAAGGTGGTCGATTGAATCTGTGTCTTGCTGAAGAAGGTGATTCTTGGTTTTCTTGGTGTCGCTTATGTTGGCATGATTTTGATAATTCTGTTATTTGTGGCTGAGATTTTGGGAGTCGTCTTGGTGCAGTTTTGGATGGAAGAGCCTGTTTTTATGAGGGAAATATTGCATTTCTGATACACCAATGTTTGTTTGGTGTGTTTTAAATTTAGGTATTTCTTAAGGTATTTTTATGCATTTTGGGTATTTTTCAATTTATTGTGGATGTTTAAAATAAGACATGAGAAAACTGTTAGAGATAGACCCTTTGTCTTGCAAAATAAATCATAAATATTATCTATACTCTATCTTCATGCGCATATAAGAATACGATCCTAGCAATCACATTCGCAACTGCATATACTCTTACATTGGTCATTGCAGATAGCACCTCAGACCAGAAGTGCATCTTTATTTTACATATAGGATACTAGGGGTGGGCAAAATTATCCGCTAACCCGAAAACCCGTCGTATCCGAGGAATACTATCCCAGCAATCATATTCGCAACTGCATACTCCTGGTTGGCAAAAAGCTTTGGGATTGCGGCCGGAATATGCATTATTACATTGCTCATTGCAACGCGTCCAATTGCATCCTTCCCAGTTGCATATGCCCACCACAGAACTGCATCTTCTTGCTTGTGTAATTGGAGAACTTGATTCCATGGCCAGCGTTCCACTAACTGCAACATTTTTCGAGTACGGAGCAATAGACATATTAGCTAATCAGATTTAAGTAATTCTTATATCTATAAAGAAAAAAAAAAAAGAGCATTAAGTATATTTGCAGAGAGTTCACTATTATCACCAAAAATGGTTGGTTTTCTAACTTTGAAAGCAACACATTTACCTGATGAAAATATGAGGAAAAAAACTAAGCAAAAACTTGGCAAATGTTTTTCCATTTTCAAATGGGATACTATATAATCCCTCAAGAATTTTCTAGTCCAAAATCTTTGGTTATGAAAGAATTATACCCTTCAACTCCTATATATATATATAGGTACAACCGTAAGAAGAGATTGTCTTTTTATCTTCCTTTCCTTTTTAACATCTTTTCCCCCTTGAGAAAATTTCATCAAATATGGAAAGTGAACCTGTACTCCTATTAGGGACAATAATATAGTATTGCCTAATATGCAAATTTCCAATAAATACGATATCTATGCAAAAGCTCTATCCAAAATTATGTCGTGATGCAATGAATCATGTTTTGGGATGTTCAAATTTAGCATCCAATTATGTCTCTCGATGAATTGAACCATTATATTATTGGTTTGCAAAACTTAGAACTTTACCGTGCACTCATACCATAATTATTATGTCACGATGACATGAATTAGAATCGTGTTTTGCCTAAGTTTTGGTTGATCAAATTCTTGAAAACTCTCAAAATAGATGTGTAAAAAAAAAAATTTTATGTTTCTTCTCAAAGAAATTTTGATTTGACTGTAAAAAGTTTTTCTTCAGCAATGGACTTGTACCCAACTATTATTGGATTTTTGGAACCGACGATACCAAATTCATACAATTATCTTGGGTTAGTTGCTTATGGCTAATTTTACTAGCCATTGAATTTTTTTTTTTTATTGTTTTTCCGGATGCTAGCAAGTTGGATTTGATTACTAGTAAGCAAGCCAGTAAATAGTAACATATCTGTTTAGTCTAATAAAGCAATAAGAATGGGGTTCAGCAAAACATACGTAACAGATGAAACTAACTAAATCTCAATCTAAAGTAAATCTGCCAATAGGATTCTACAGAAGTTCTGCTTAGGTCCCACCCCCCAAAAAAAGAAAAAGAAAAAGAAAAAATAATTTTCTGTTTGCCGAGACCAAAAATGTGGTGTCATGTACTTTACTTACAAAGGGAGAGAGAGAGAGAGAGAGAGACAGAGAGAAGCTAGACCTGAAAGGACAATACATGTTTTTATAGTATTTACAAAACAAAATATTTACGAGCGTCTTGTCGTCTGTGGTTAGCAAATTTTCACATCACAACACACTTGTCTTTGGATGACTTTGTCTCCTGCTGCCTGGAAGATTGAGATTGAGATTGAGATTGAGATGCATACTTCCCACTGTTCCTTGGAACCTACAAGACACAATCATCCATCCACATGTAACAGTTCCTTTTACCGAGTGATTTCATATCTAATCATCAACATACTCATTAATTAGAGCAAATATGCAAGAGAGGATCCATGTAGGGAAGTTAAAGACAACCTTGGGAGACATTTTGGACAAAGCTCATTAGAAAATTTGGTAACTACTGCCAATAAGTTCAGAAGGAAAACGAAGGAAAAGGCGCAAAAATGTGAAAAAACAAATGACAAGTATAGCTGCAAATCCCTTCATAATTATCTGGGTGGTTTTCCAATCCTAGGAGAAGCAGGAAATTCAGTAATCCATATTATTGCAGCTTGTTTTATTTTTTGGCACAAGTTGAAGACCACAAATCAAAGCATTAACTTGAGCTAAATCATGTCAACGCAATCTAGAACAGCAGATAGAAGTTCTTAATCACCACAAACTCTTTCAAATAATTTTTCAAAGGAGTAGGAAATAGGAGGAGAATTTTATAATGTACCTGAGGTCCAGTAACCAACCTACCACCACCCACAGAGGGTGGTTGTGAATTATTTTGCCGCTGTGATGTCTGTTGCTCAAATTCCTGTTGCTGGAGGGCAATTGCCAGTTGCAAATCGGAACTGTCAAAAGCAAAATATATACCTTGAGATCAAGATATCACCCTCACAAATTCTTTTACCTAGTAAATAGATACATGAGCCAATTAACCACAACATGTTTGAGAAGACACTACAGAAATCCAGTAAGCCTTTCATTTCAGGAAAAATAAGCACAAAATGACAACTGCAATAAAAGATTCAAGCCGCTAGTCCCAAAAAAAAAAAAAATGCCACAAAGTCAACCAATTCCTAATCTTGATGCTGCTATGGTTGTTCCAAGGAAAATAGAAATGGTCCCATGATTACTAAAACCTTTAAAGCAATATTCTCAAAGTCCAAATTCAAGGATGGACAAAATTGATAAACATCAAGTCACAGTAGTAATCAACTAAGGCACAACCATAGAAGAACGAAAAAGGAATGGCAATCAAATTCATCAGCATAAATAAGTGGAGCAAAGGTCCAGCATCACCCAGGAGATGCATAATTAAACACAAATATACAGAACACAACCATCAAACCATACCCACTCTCGCACATATTCACACAGACAGATCATCCAAGTGAAAGGTCCACTTAAACCTATTCTACAAAAGTATGATTAAGAATTCTGAAGGAAAAAGGTAAAAAGTGTACGGTGTTCAGATAATTACTTGAAACTTGAATCTGCCTGCATGGAATTGTCCATGCTTGCTAGGTAGTCCTGCAAAAGAATTCACAATTCAGTTTAGGAAAAAGAAAGGGATGAAAGAAGTCAATAGAGGAAACACCAGCAATCTACAAAAGCTATATCAACAGAACAAGAATGCGAAACTACATACAGCAGTACTGGCCATAGCATTCTGTTCATCCCATGAGTTGTTGCCATGATTCTCCACCTTGAACTCCTTGAAGTTACCAGTCATGTACACTGTGTCCCCATTTACCTAAATAATGGAATCACAGACAACCAAACAAGTGATGCTTCTGTGAAAAGATTTTTGCACAGACAGATCTTTCAGATAAAAGCTCAAAAGGAAAAGCTTGGTCAGGACTCTCGAGAGTTTCTAATCGAATCAACACTTGGAACTCAGAAAAGATACAAATACAACATGCAAATTGACAAAAGTTCCAGTACTTGCACAGAATGAATTACTCTATTTTCTGCTTCTATTGCACACATGCATCTCATGAGAGAACAGTTTAGAGTGTAAAGGCTTTAATCTCAAAATTAGAATTAATCTTGAAGGTGGCTTGCAGGACATTCAATCCTTTGCTTTCCTCGACGGTGGAGGAGACTATGATGACATAATTGACTACTTTCCCCAGTATAAAACTGGACATTAGATCTCCTCCTAGTCACAAGCACAGACACTACATACATCTAGGAGAGCTCTAAAGTTATTTCCTAGGAACAACTTAAAAGAACTAACAAATGTACTCCACCCTAGATACAATGCCCAAGTAACTTTAAAAAGCAACTGGAGCAGGTACATCTAGATGGCAGTTTGCATATCAATGTCAACCAAAAGATTTGATATGGTAATGGCATAACAAACTCAGGTTCTATTTCACTCACATTACAGTATAACACTAACAATAGAATGGGATCTGGTCATTTTTGCGGCTTTTTAGGACAAGGGTATTATTTGCTATTCTAGAAATCAAGTCTTAAAAAACAAAGAAAAATCAATTAAAATTTTAATGCATGTTAATTTTATGTGTATTCTAGTCACTCAGCAGGTAATGTTTTATTACAAAAGAAGGTTCACTTCAATTCAATATTATCTTACGTTTACATCTTTGAGGCTATGATTAGAATGAGACATGAAGTCAGATAAAAAGAAATTTATTACTAACAGTCTCAGCCCCCTACCTCATTCAGCTTTTCCCAAACCAAATCAGGCTGATTGATGTAACCTTGGTCTGTAGCCAAAATATATAATTCCCCTTCAAACTGCACATTACATCATTATAGGTACAAGAGCAACTGATGTCACTGTCAAGAAGCATAGTCAAATTTACTTATATAGGGGAAACTATATTCCAGTATCACATAAAAGTTGTTGTACGCTGAAATTGGTAATAGTGAAAGACATTACAATAAAAACATCAAAGACTGACCTTGAACATGGTATTGAAATGATTATTCCGGAAGAAAACACAAAGCTCACGTTCTTTTAATCCCTCTTGCAAGCAAAACAGGCTGCAGGAGACACAAAATGCATCAGACCAAAGTTAAGTTCCAATTCTTACCTCCATTGAAGTAAAACATATTGATTATCTGTTAAAAAAAAAAACCACAAAACCAACATACCCATATATAGTCAACTGACTAGCACTGTTCTTCAAAAAATTCTGAATCAGTTCCCCTAAAGAAAATTAATTAGAGCTTAAGTAAATATATTCTGCACCATAACAGAGAGAGGGAGGGGATGGAGAGCAGAAGCAAAACAGGGAAACAAGAATGCATGTCTTAGTGGTGCAATAAAAATTGAGACCACTCCATCTGTCAGGAGCATTCCATTACCTTCTTTAGTAGTAATTTGATCTTTCTTTGCATCACAAACTTCTATAGAACTTCTGTCTCCTTGTTCTGCAAGGACCACCTCACCCTCGTACATAGGTTCTCGGTTTTGATGGGTTGTATCTGTTGACTCCAATATGCTCTCCTCACCTTCGTAAATAGGTTCACTGGTATCAACATTGGAAATAAAAACTTGATGTTCATCTACATTATCTGTTCTGTCATTTAATGAATCAGTACAGGGAGCATGAGTCAATGAACCGAAGGGATCAACAGTTTCACGACCATTTCGCTCATTTTCTACTTCATCAACTTCATAAATGGAACATGACAAGGTCTGATTGTCTTCATCTTTTCCAGGTTTATGTACATTAGTTCCAGCGGCAGAAGAAGCATCCCTTGAAGAAGATTGATTAGCTCCACTTCCAATATTGACCAAGGTATTACTACCACAATCTTCAACAACTTTAACCACAGTATTATATTCAGATTCTCCTGAAATTGATTTGATACAAGATCTCTCCGGCTCTGTCTTTGAGGGCAAACATACAGCATCCTGCCAAACTGTTTCAGAACCTCTTGGGTCAAAGTCGTGATTGCTTGAGGTCTCAAAATTGCTAGAAACTGTCACTTCATCAGGACAAGACATTTTACTTCCATCAAACACATTTTCTTCTAATGTTCCAATTAAAGAAACTGGTTCAGACTGCTTGAAATCTGAACTCGCTTCTGTAACAATAGATGAATTTGGCTTATTAGCAGATGGAACATCAGCTGATGAAGTAGGCACTTCTGACACTGACAATTTCAAGACTCTCATCAGTTCTTGTTCTTCTTCAATGTCTCCTTTTCTTCCTATGAGGTGATCAGGAAGAGAAATAGGAGCATCATCAAATGATCTACCTCTTGAGAGGCATGGAGATGGAACTCCAAGAGTTGCAGTTGTCGCAGCAGCAAAATCAACACAATCTTCTTCAGAATTTTTCTTATGTTGTGTCTCCATATTTTGCGTCTCAAGGGCAACAAGCTCCCCCATAAGCGTATTATATGACTTGGAGCCAATTGCATTTGCAGTATCAACATCCTGGTAGACATGAACAAACAATGCTTCAAGCTCACATAGATATTAATTTAACAAATCCTTCCAGAAAGGATAGAAAGGAGTAAGTTACTGCAGAAACAAAAGGCATTAAAAAGAAAGGAGACAATCTGACAAGCGACAGGAAAGAAAGTACGGGTAATATGTTAGCAAAAATTGAGAAGCTTAATGTAAAAATTAAGCGAGCAGAGACACGCTTAATAGCAAATCGAGATGTGAATAAAGGTAAATGCATGCCAAGAGAACAAGTAGCCCTTTTTGTCCACTTTGAGTGCCATAAAGAAATAAATGTCTGGACTAAGATAACCTTGAGTACAGTAACCATTAATTTTTTGTGCTGATACTGAAAACTAGTATCCAGCAAGTTCTTAATTTCCCTTTTTCAAAAATTGAAAAGCATCTGCAAGAAAATCTCATCCACGAAGCTTACACTACCATTTCTACACTAATCAGAAGCAGAAGCCTAGATCAAGGCAATAATTCAAAAGATTAAGCACATAATACAAATACCCTGCTGTTCATAGCTCATTCCTGGAGCAATGTGGACACAATTAATCAAGTTTCCTTGCCCTGAATACTTGCAAAGTTATCTTACAATGTATTGGTGCAATCACTTTAGAAATCAGTATTACAGTGACAGTCAATCCATGATTGTACATGTGAGAAAATGAATCAGCAATTCCAATGAATTAACTCCAAACATACATTTTTTTTTTGTACAGAAGGCTGGAAAGTTTCCAAATCTTCAGGAGAAGATATGTCCAGCATGGGAGAATACTTAATGGAAAGTTTCACCTTCTAACTTTAGCGCTAAAGCTAATCACTCAATGTAATTGGTACCAAATATACCGAAATTCTTAACAAAACAGCAGTTTGATGTCTAAACTCACTTTCAGGTTTTAATCTATCTTGAATCAAACTAATGAAAACTGCTCTTTGCATTTCCAAATTACACACAATACACATTTAAATTATATAAGGAAAAAGTGCTTTAAGTTCACCTACAAATACCTGGGCATCAACTATCCAACCATGGTAGAGTGGAATGTCCAGTAGATCAAATATTGCACATTCCCGAGTAAATTCAAAATCAGCAATTCTGAATGATAAAATGCATTAGTTACACAACAGTGCAACTTTTAAAAAAAAAAAAATTAAGAAGAAGGTAAGTAAACCTACATAGACATAAAAAAGGCCATCATTTACCTCCTGAATTTTATATTTACATCAATCCCAGTTGCTAGTCTAGGAAGCAAATCAATGGCATCAGCAATGTTTTGTTGCTGATTTTCAACGTATCCTGCATCTTTGTCCTGAAAAATTGAACCAAAACCAACAGAGAGAACTTACATTTGTATGGTTTCACTTGGATTATAAAGAATAAGAAACAAAAAGAACAAACAACCTTCAATAAATAGAGAACACAAAATTCTTTTCAGTCAAGTTATTTATTTCCAAATTTTTTATCCATAATCATACAGTAATGGAGCTGTTACAATTAAAAAGTAAACAAATAGCAATTAATGTAATGAAACAGAAAGAAGTTACTTTGATATTGGAATTTGAGTCGATTAATCGCTCAGCAACAAGCGAAAGCAATTTCTCCTGTGAAACCTCTGGAATATCTGGACTCAAGCTCAAGTTATTCTTTAAGAGAAGAACATTACCTACCACACAAGCCATACAGATTATATCAGCAAAACTTGTAATTAACCATTAAAACCAAAAAGACATTCCAAGCAAAAGCACCCCTCCCCCAAATTAAAAAAAAAATTTAAAAAAACAAGGGAGAAAAAAACCAACAAAGAAGTAGAATGATGTAGTTGCTAGACATTCTAAAATTAACTCCTATGAAGAAAATCATGTAACACATGGAATCACTATAAAGAAGTTGCTCAAATCTCATGGCAGAATCATGAATATCCACAGACTTAGTATCCTAACCTTTCTTGATTAAAATAACTAACCAGTAAACCACGGATCTATTGTCAAAGGCTGAAAAATAGGAACAAGCTCTATTTTTTATTTATCACCTTAACCATGTACTTAACCAACAGAAGTGCAATAGAAACCATGGCATAAAGCAAATAAAAAATAGCAGCGCAGAAGAACCGACCATTCACAAAGAAACCGCTATGCAAAAGCAAAAAATAAAAAACGCCTTAACGACATGCTACAAAACTTTTCACCAAAAAATTTTTATTCATGATAACATGAACCAAAAATCTTCTTCTTCCACCAAAAAAGGAAGGCTTGGCTCCAGTTATAGAGACAATGGCCTATTATTTCCAGCTACAATTAAATAGAAATACCTCTATCATCAAGTCAAGTTAAGAAATCAAACTGGAAATATTATTGATCAAATTAACTCCTTGTTCAAACCCTATGCCTATGTCTCAAAGTCTTGAAACTTACATGCCATTCTTGACCCAACTAAACGGGAAAATTTTTTTCTTGCTTCAACTATATGTAACCTATAAGTTGCTTCTGTCAAAAAACGAGTGGCATCCATAATTACTAACCTACAACTCAGCTGATACTTATCCACATACAATTCCAAATCTTTTTCATTGATAATGCAACTTTTCATTCAACCTAATTATTTCCTCACTCAGCGAGTAAACCAAGATCTCAAAATCTTGAAATATGCATTTCATTTGAGGCAAAAATAAAAAATTCCAAGCTAAAGTTCAAACATGTTAAAATTCTAAAGAAGAAGAAAACAACAAAATTAATTCCATACTTATTGTTCAGACCTATGTTCCACAATTTTGACAACACAGCATTCTAAAACGGGAAAAAGAACAAAAAAAAACATATTCTTGCAACAATTACCAATAAAATTCACAAAAATATGTAAAGCCTAAAACCCTCTGTGAACAGAGGGAGAAGAATTAACCCAAAAAACACAAAAACAATAAAATATATATATATATAATCGAGATAAAGAAATTTACAGATGGCAAGCAGAGGGCAGGGGCCATTGTCGTTTTGAAGAATGATGGGAGTTGTTCGGCCCAAGAATTGAATGACTTTAGTTTTATGCATCATTTCTTCATTATCGCCGCCTTTTTGCTCCTCCGGTGCAGCTGCCGCCGTCGATGCCAAGGTTGAAGACTCCGCCATTTTTCAGAATTTATTTTGAATTTTGTCAATTCACACCCACAATCTATAATATATTTCTAGAGGGAGAAACGTTGTATAGTGAGAGAAAATTTAGACGAAAGAAGGAAGGGGTGAGGAAAAGGTTTAAGAGAGGGAGACCGGCGAGACTACAAAAGGGGGAAAGTGTGGCTGGGCCGGCAGGCGGGTCGGGCCGAGATTTTCTCAACTGAATTGTGACGACGACGAGAACACTTCCCTTAAGTATGGCTTCACAAAAAAGAAAATGAAAGGAAAAAATAAAGGGAAAGTAGGTATGGTTTCTTTTTTCGTTCCAAGACTAGTAGGCAAGAAATTTTAGGTAATTAATTTGATTTTGCCTTTGATCTTATTTCATCTTTCCTTTTTCTAAGTAGTGTATCAAAAAAAATTTCCCGTTGGCCCGTTTGGATTGCATTTTCCGTCATTTTTCATGGAAAAATTACTGTAGCGATTTAATGTATATGAAAGAAAAAGATAATAGGGAAATGTGATCACGAAAAATAACGCAATTTTCTGGCAGAAAATGGCAATCCAAACAGGGCTGTTCACTAGGCACTAATTTTTTTAAAAAAAAATTTGAGTACACAAAATCATATTGGGATCAATAGATGAAGATAGATTATAACTAAACAACAACATTATACCTAATAAGTCACTAATAATATGATGAAAATTAAAACATAGGTAGCATAGACTCGTAGTGGATGATAGTTAATTGAACTCTTGGAATCTCAATCTTATTTAACACTAGTGATTTTATGTGTGAATTACAAATAAATTGCACATTTTTTTTTACATTTATTATTCTGTCTTGCTTTTAGAGTACTTCCTTAACCTAACTTCCTAAGTCCCACCTAGCACTCTTTAATGAAATCTTAATTGCTTTTATGGATTTTAAAGTGGAGAGATCTCTCTTATTTGCTTTTTACCAACCAAGTCATATGAAAAGTTGAACGCTAAGCTCAAAGTACAAATTGAGAAACGCTCAAGGTGTAAGAAGTGATAGCTAGAAGTTGCTAGAATAGGGAATTTTAATTCCACATTTGTGTTAGGGACTTGGAAGTTTGAGAAGTTGATGTGATTCTGAAAGGAGTTCTCGTATCAACATTGCTACCATGTAGACCTAATATTCAATTGTACTAAATCGTTTTTTGGCAACTTGTGTGCTAAGTAATAGCTTTCTAGATGTTTGCTTCCAAGACTAACTTTTTTATAATGACTTGTAAGTATTTGTTTTCATCAAATGTGATTCTCAAGCAAGGTGGATTTTTGCTATTGATGCTTAAAAGTTTTGCTTGATACGGATTCATAATTCATTTCGAGAACCTGAATTCTAATTCTCCATTCTCCTTCTCTTGCTTCTTAAATTTTACTCTTCTCCCGTTAAAATATATTTTGTTAAAAAAAAAATACGATACATCAAATTTGCCCTCCTAAGCATTTAATATTATCTATCTTCAAGATTTTCATCAAGAAACGTGACGTGTACATATGAGGAATGGTATGGAATACTTTGAGACCCGTTGTGTGGTATGTGTGATTTAGCAGCTTAACGAAACCAAACCCTAGACTCTGGAGTGACCTTTTTTTAAATAAAAAAAAAAAAAAAAAAAAAACCTCCAATACGAAGACCAACTAATCCAGTATCGTTATAAATAATCAGAGCAGTTGGAATTGTTGTTCCACTGAGGTTCTGTCTGATGAGGAATTAAGGATATACTTCTCTGAAATCCCGACTTGGAACTTTTAACAAAGATAAACTAATGTAGGATTGAGGCAGGCATTAGAACGGCGGCTATGAATTGGAAAATTAAACATAGTTTGACAGTTAGGTGTGGCGAATAAACCATCACGTTATCTTTAACTAAACAACTTTGTTTTTAATTATAACTTTTATATTGAGCGAAGGCGAATCATGGAAGTTAATTTTATAAAACAGAAGTAAAGTAGCCGGAAATCGTCAAGCACGATTTACTTGACAAAAAAAGCTGCCCTAATGACAGAAATTATATAGAACATACCACGGTAAATCTCATATGACAAATCCTTAGATTTAACAGTGTTACAAAATAAGAAAGATTACACTGTGAATCACGAACCATCGGTTCATATTTGATTACATGTACGGGCAGTTCCATAAATATCTATGCGATGAAAGATACAAAATTCAACCAAACCCAAGCTATGAAATTATGCATCAAAAGCTAATTTGTGAGATATTAAAGTTGCACATTAGAAATTTGGGGAATTGGTTTTATAGTACATGATGGTACAAACCTCTGATGCAATATAAAAAAATTCCGACAAAAAAGAAGGGAGAAAATTTAAGAAGGGTAGGAATTAGCATGCAAATAATTTCAGACAATAAATTGGTGCAGGCCATGCAAATGGCTTCTAGATGTAACAGGCTAAACGGAAATAAAAAAAGGATAAGATTTTCATGTTAAATTTTATGGGTGAGGTGAGTAATGCAAGTTGGATAAGATTTGCATACAGGTGATGAAAAATGTTTTCTTTAATACTTTTATTTGTTCTGATTAGCTTTTTGATGGTCCCCAATATTTCTTTGTCAATTTTCAGTCTTTTTTCCTTCTACGCCAAATATTCAATATCTTACTTCTTCATCTTTATCTGTATTGTAATTTAATCTGCAAACTTTTAGCTTTCTTCAAATTCACAGGTGCAATTCGTTAGTCAAACCATCAATTCTTGTCAGGTTACTCACAATTGATGCATGGCCAAAATTGGAGCCAAAAAGGAACATGCTTCTAGGGTTCTAGTTGTTTTAAAAGTTAAAAGTTTTTTTAGGGGGTGTCCTATTTTTCTTATAAATTAATTCTTAGCACTATTTTAAAGGTTTTCCCGTTACTCTTTTTATTTTTGTTTTATTTATTTTTTTATTTATTTATTTTGGAGGATTGAAATGCAAAGCTGGTTACATAACATCAAGCCTAAAATGGGACGTGCCTATTAAATCAAGACCCGATTTTTTTAAAAAAAAAAAATTACTAATTGCAAATTAAAACTAACTTTAATTTGGACATTGGCAACTAATGCCCAGTTGTCAGGTGATTGGAGCCCAAGTCTCGTTCAACTTGAAAACTTTGCCATAATGATCAGGTTCCAAACTGTCCCATGATCACTTTCAAAATCCAATACGAAATCCTAATCACTATGGCTGTTTATTTTGATCATCCCTCACTCCGGAGAAGTCCCAAAAGCTTTGGGTTGAAATAGCCCTAAAACCCAAAAAGCTTTGGGTTGAATTGAAGTTCTCCATATAATATGCAGCATGGGCTTCAATTTCAGGTTTGACAGTGTCCAACCCATCTTCCTTCCTTCTGGTGGTTAGGAGTTTGGGCAGGAAGAGAAGGGAGCTTGAATCAGTAAACATTAAACTGCTTACATTACACCCAATGGCCTTTGGTCGGATCTTCAAACTCATTAATCAGACTAGTTTTTAATGCAACAAGAAAGATGTTTAAAAAAATTATGAATTAGGATCCGAGGATAGCAAACAAATAAATCGCTAAGGTTGAGGCATCTAAAAATTAGAGGTTCTGAATTCAAATCCCCCCCTTCCTTTCCCTACTTCTTGAATCCCACCCCTCCTCTATTGAAAAAAAAAATACAGAATGACTCTTTTTTAAGCTTTTTTAATTATATGACTCCATAACTCTCTTACAAGCTAATTGCAATTGGATTAACATGCTACGAAGCTACAATGACAATTGTCAAACTAAAGTCTAAATATGGAAAGAAAACTACTACTATCATGAACCTTAAGCACGTTACGGAATAGTATTTTAAGTCATAACACGCCTACATATAATATAATAATGAGAAGTAAACGTAACTGCGCCAGAATGGAATGGAAAAGTCACATTGCCTGTTTGTTTATGAGTATATCTCATTCATGAATCTAGTAGGGGCGTATATCGAGTTGATTCATCGATGGAAAGTTTATTTAGCATCTAAACAGGTCCTTAGTATCGGTAGAAAGTTTCTTCTAGAAAGGTGGCGATCTTATACTAACTTCTATGTAATCGCATACCTGGAAATGGAAATTCCTGACTTATAAATCTTACCAGCTTTAGCTGGCTAATCAGAGACACCTACCGGTTTGAGAGATGGGGTCAACTCTTGCACATTAGCATTTATTTTTTCAGTTCGACGAAATTCATGATGTAACTAACTAGGATCAGGAAATTTTATAACTAGGTAAGAGTGTCAGAAGCCCTACTACAAGATCCTTAATCATGGGGTATGATGGATTCCGTGGACTCTAATGCTCTGGAAAGCAGGAACACAAGGAGTTGGGGTAAATAAGACTCTATAATAGTGTTTGTCAGAAGAGGTATGATCAGGGAACAACGGCAACTGTTGAAACTGGAAGTCTAGGCCTAGCAAGCTTGTTCGAGGCAATACAACCTGGAAAAGCCGATATATGGAGTCAATAAAAGGAAAGTTTACAGGAAGGGGCCCTTTTCTCTGGTGTGATCTGATTTGGATCCAACAAAACAAAGGCTCCTTACTCCTTACTAAAAGAAGAAAAGAAAAGAAAAGAATACGGTTCAAAGAGTGAAGATCTTCAGGGGAAAGTTTCCAGGCTAGTATCTTGCTACTTTGTACGTTTTCTTGAATATGGAATGTTACCTGGCTAAAATATCTGCTAGCTGTTTTCTCGGATCTTGCAGTATGGAATCAAATTAAGGACCAAATGCATCTGAATTATGACTAGTACTGACAATAATTAAACTTATTTTCTACTCTTTTCTGCTTTTGATCATATCAGGAGTGACAGTGGAAGTTGCATTTTAATCGAACGGTAAAAGTAGAAAATCCATATGCAATTGCTGGACTAGTACACATCAGCCATTATTCATAATCAATAGGTTTAGCATTATTGTCATTATTATTATTATCATGATTAATATATATATTTTTTGTGTTTCCTTTCGGCAGTATCAGAACAAATGCAGGTACCTGTTTCAACATTAACCCTAAAATAATATTCACTAATCATTGGTAACGGTATCCCCAACTTTTGCTATTTCTTTTGCGATGTCAGGTCTTGATTTTCTTGGTCTAAAGCAAATGTTAATATTCCAAATGGGTCTGAATAGTGTATTTTTTGAGTTTTTGTCTAAAATTTTATTATAACTTACTATATATTTTTTTAAAAAAAATACTAGT